TCATTTGAAATGATGTAACCTAAGAAATCAACTTGAGTAGTGTGGAATACACACTTTTCTATCTTGGCATAGAGTCCTGCATCTCTTAATTTTTGTAACACACGACGAACATGAAGTTCATGTTCTTCTAGATTCTTAGAATAGATCAAGATGTCGTCTAGATAACAGACCACAAAATCGTCCAAAAATTCTCAAAAAATATTATTCATTAGATGTAGAAAAGTTGTTGGTGCATTTTTAAGTCTAAAAGGCATGACGTTGTATTCAAAATATCCATACCTAGTTCGAAACGCAATCTTCCATTCATCTCCTTCTTTGATGCGTACTAGATTGTATGCTCCCCGAAGATCTATTTTTGTATAGATCTTAGCTTGATTCAGCTGATCAAGAAGTTCAGATATTAAAAGTAGTGGATACCTGTTCTTGATGGTAATCTTGTTGAGTCCTCAATAATCAACACACATCCGCAATGATCCATCTTTTTTCTTTACAAATAGCATTGAAGCTCCTGCCGGAGAATTAGAATTGCATATGAAATTCTTGGCTAGATTTTCTTCAATATACTCCTTGAATTCAGTCAACTCATTTTGTGATAAACTGTAGATTGGTCCGAATGGCGATTGTGCTCCTTCTTGAAGGTCAATTGAGCAATCATAGGGACAATATTCAAGGAGTGTATCTGCATTTTGTTTTTCTAATACATCTTGAAATTCTTGATATTGGCTTGGAATGTCACTTGAAGTCTTTTCACTAGTAAAAATAGGTGTGGCATAAATAATATATGGTGATTCTTTCATAGCAGCATGCAAGAAAGCTTTTGCACCTATAAATACGGGTTTAATTGACCTGGACTTATGACTCTCTACTTGATTAACTACAGTGTTAGTTATACTTTTAGAAAAAGTAAGAGTTCAGAAAATCCAATCTATTTGAGGGTTGTATTTTTCTAACCACGATAAACCTAAAATGATTGGATTAGAGGGAGATCTAATGATATTAAATACTATAAAACTATTATGACCATTGATTATTACTTCTATAGGAAGGGTTTTGTGAGTAATATCTCCAGAAGACAATGGACGACCATCTATGACTTCTACCTGAACATGTTTAGTTTTCTTTACTAAAGATATGTTATGTCTTTTAGTAAATTCTTCATCTAAAAAACATGCTGAGGCTCCTGAATCTAACAAGGCAGAGACTTTGTAATGTTTAGGTCCTAAAATAATATTTAATGTAAAACAAGGAGAAGGCTCTGAGGAGAGAATAGGACCTTTACTAGATATTGTACAAGGTTCTAGCCGCATGGTCCCTATTGTAGCTGGATAAACTCGTTTTCTGACATATTATCTTCTTTCACAAGCATACTCCTCATTTTGTGATTGCATCGTTTCTTTAGACAATGTTGAGTAGTGTGCTTTGGTTCTCCACAATATAAACATAATCCTTCTTGACGATGACGAGTCTTTTCTTGCTCAATAAGAAGTTTGAAACGTACTGTATCAATTTGTATATCCTCTACTTTCGAATGTATGTGTTGAAGAGGTGTTGGTATTGCTATTGAATTATAGTAACGTTGAGGTCCACTTGTATGGTTCTTAGATCAAAATTCAAAAAGGTAATTGTTGCACTTTACAGCAAAGTCAATTGCTTGACTCAATGTTTGATGATCTGGTAAGTTGAGCATTAATTTTTTTACCTCATAGTGTAATCCGTAGAGAAATTGGCTAATAAGTGTAGCATCATCCCACTTGATATCAGTTGCAAGTTGTCAAAATTGTAAAGCATACAACATTTCTGAACGATTACCTTGTCGTAAAATACGGATCTTATTGGTTGCAACACAAATTGCATCATGTTCTCCATACATGGATCGAAACTCTGCCAAAAAAGCCTCTAGATTATCTAATATTGAATCTTGTCATTCAAGAAAAGATGAAAACCATGATAGTGCTAAACCTGAAAGAAGCGTACCAATGAATCTAACTTACGATCCTGAAGTTGGATAGCTTTGGGATTGAAGTTCAATCACAAGTTACACTTGATTGATAAATCCTCAAAACTTGGATTTGGTGCCATCAAACTTCTCGGATAGGGCAATTCTTGGTTCTCTAACATTTGAAGGGCATTCCACCATAGGAAAAAAGACATGGTTTAGTGCAGATGTTGAAGCAATTCCAACCATTTCTATATCTTCACTTCTTGCCAATCTTGTTGCTCTTTGTGGTGGTAAATTGAGTTGATACATTGCAAGCATTAACTTCCTCAATTGCTCTTGCATTTGTGCCATTGCACTCTTCATTTCAAGAAGTTCTGCCATGATAACACTTAGAAAAGAGAAGATGTATAATATTGCTCTAGACAAATAGAAGAGAAGACTTGGGAACAAAGAAAATACTAAGGACAATATCAGTCTAAAAGAAGGTAATCCGCAACTTCTAATATGCTTATATCTTATGAAGAAAAAGGGGTAACCCACACTTAATCAAGATTAGACAAAGCTCTAATATTGTAGGTGTACTCTTGTCAATCTGTCAAGGACAAGAACTTGATAAAAAAGAAATTCAGGTAAGTGAGCCTTCACTCAAAGAAAGGTAACAAAATATAATTAAACAAGTATATATATTGAAAGAAAAATTGGAATGGCTATTGCCAAAAGATAAGAAAATTAGAGACCCTTGAAACTAGACTAGAAGCAAGAAAGGAGTTGACAAGAGTGAAGAGGGCTTCACTCTTGTCTCTATATATACTATCTAACTAGGGGCTATGTGGCGACGTTCTATAGGACCTTCAATATGTGTTGACTTTGTAGGACACATGTCTTGACTTACAAGGCAAGTTTTTCTATGTGTGGACCATATTGTTAGCTTGGTCTTCAAGCTAACAACATGTGTGGCACATGGCCAACTTGTTGACCACGTTTTTAATCCAAAAAGTTAATTAAAGACACCTATGAAGTCAAAGCAGCATCTATGAAGCTTCTAGGAAGCTTCCATATTAAATACTATAGAATTAATTTACTTTTATTTACTTTTACTTACTTCCACCTATTTGTATATGTAATTACAAGCTTACATGAGTATGTCCGTGACACAAGGTTAGAGAAGGGGGCCAGCCAATATCCAAGCACGTTTTTGAGGCTATCATTTATTTGATAATTTTGATTCTTTTCAAAAAATATTGTACTTATTGTCAATTTAATTGTTAAAAAGCGTGTAAATTTTGAGTTAAGATCAGTGATTCATTCATTAGTAATTGAGGTTTAAATCTGTTGTATGAATTACTAGGGTTTGATTTAAGATTTAGCATTTGGTTTAGGATTTGGTTAGGGTTTGATTTAGGATTAGGATTTGGTTAAGATTTAGTTTAGGGTTTAAGGTTTGGTTAGGGGTTGATTTAGGGTTTAAAGTTTGGTTAGGATTTTATTTAGGATTTAGGATTTTATTAGGATTTGTTTAAGATTTCAAATTTAATTAGTTTTTGGCCTAAAGTTTGAATGAAGTCCAATAGGATTTTAACTAGGATTAAATTAAGATTGAATTGAGATGTATTTGAGATATATTTATGATCATTCTAATATTTCTTTAAGATTCTTATTGTTTCTTTGTAATTTATTTGAGGTTTCTTTGAATTTGATTAAAGCTTAATTATCATTATTATGGTCTAATTAGAATTTAGTTAATATTCTATTAAAGTTAGGATATTATTGTTGTAATTTCCATTCTATATTTCGCAACCAGATGCCTAGAGCATTCTCAAGCAAGACTTCATGTATTATGACAACATTGCCACTTAGCTCTTAGGTGGACAATATTTATAGAAGCAAGAGTAAAGCCTTCTTCACTCTTATCAATTTTTTTCTTGCTTCTAGTCTAGTTTCAAGAGTCTCTACTTTCTTTGTCTTTTGGCAATAGCCATTCTAATTTCTTTTTTAAAATTCATACTTCTTTATTTCTATTTTATCATATTCTTTTGAGAAAGTCTTACTTATTTATTTACTTTTATTGAGTTCTTATCCATGGCATAATCTTGAAAAGATAATCAATGATAATAAATTATCTTCATTAATACAGCAATTGAATATTTACAACTCAATGTCTATTGAAGTATTTCTTAATCCTATGGAAGAAGAAACTATCCATAAACAATTCATAGATAAAGAACTTGTTGAAATAGTAGCAAGAAATGAAAATGATATTGACAATATTGAGAAACTAGATGAAGTAAAATAAAAAATGACATCCAAAGAGATATTCAATATTTGCCAAAGATTTATTAAGATCCTTAACCTTTCATTCTATTCCATCTTATAGTTCATAATATTACTGAGAAAATTCAACATGCATAGAGAAGCCAAAAAAAAATACCAAACTTTACTTGATTCTTAGCTTTAGCCCCAATTGTAATCACTTAGATATTATGCATTACTTATATTACAAAATCTAATAGTTATTCCTTATATAATACAGTTACTGTTGGCCTTCATCTACATCTTCTATATATTGATTTCATCACATATGTTAAAAAATTTCTATCAAATATTGGAGATCAGAGGATATCAATTTAGAGTATAGGAATGCAGCTGGTGGAGCATGATTTGTATTGGATACTAGAAAGTATTGGCTTATAGAGGATCAATTGTATATATATATATATATATATATACATATACATATATGAATATAGATATTTGTGTGTATGTGTGAATATATATGTATGTATATATATTAAAAAATTAAATTAATATAAAGGTAAAAGATTCAGAAAATTACTCAGAATTTTTTTATTTAACGCTTCATACGACATATCAAATATACGTACTGTGTGTAGTACCGTAAATGAGATAAGCAAAACGGCGACGAGAACAAACGGAAAAGAACGATGCAGCGACGGAGACACGACGGAGGTGGATGAACAGAAGACATCCAGGACGGAGATCATCCAACAATGATCGTTGGTAGGGCTTGCCCTAGTTTTGTGTTTTGTCTCGTACTCCATGTCCATGTCCAGCTCGCGTGAAGCGCAACAGTTTCCAACTGCATTGATGCGATGCTGTTGTGTAACACCAACACCATTCAACGAAGCAGCCTCTCTCGCTCGCTTGCTCCTCGATCGAAAGCCTGTTTGCCCTCGAAGGACTTTTCTTAACTGGAATTCGAGCAAAGGAACGAAGCGTTGCGGTTGTGTAGAGCCTTCACGGAGCGCTAGATTGGACCGCGGAGGCCGAGGTTGATGTGAATCCTGTGATGCGCTGGTCAGTTTAATTCTGTTTTTCTAGGTTTTTTCCGCTGTTTCATGGTGTCGTTACTTTCAGTCGATGTATTTTTGGCATTTTTAGTAGTATATACGAAATTCTGGTCTCGTACATTCAAGAGGAGTTTTAGGATTTGGCCTCAGTTGCAACTTCGTAATTGTTCCGCACGTGAATTGAGCATTATGTGCAAATTGTGAATTGCGTTTTTCATTGAGATGAAGACTTCGTAGTACAACTTTACAGTTGTGTGCGGATTTCTATTGGCGATGTGAAGCTGTCGGGTTGAGTACCGGAACCTCCTTGGTTCTTTATCTGGAATTTTGTACGAGTGTCGAAGTAAATGGGCCTGATTGGAGCAAAATTGACAACTGCAGGCGGCATAGTAGTAGACTTACATTTATCCACATGGTTAGGGGGTACATCGAATATTATATTAGCTTGGGTTTGAATCGATTTCGTTGAATGTAAGTTGGGCAAATATTTTTAGAGTTTGTGGTTTATCTGGTCGGAGAAGGCATGGAATTATGACATTCTTTCACTCAGCATTCTTGATCGTTCACTACATTGCGCTGATTAAAATCCTTTCCATGATTGAAGAGGAGTCCTCGGGTTTGTGCTAGATGGTGGAGGAGGGGGTAAGCACCTTGGGATCTGCGTTAAGGCCAGGATTGTACCTTTATAGTTCCGACACTATCGAGGATGTAAGTTTCGGAGATTTCTCCTTCACCTTTGAGGGTTTTCAGTTTGAATCAGTTGCCATGATCCGTGTTGCACACTTGTGATACTATTTCCACATTCTGATGGTCTGTTGCTTGTAGCCTTCAAGTGACTCCAAAGATGACGCTGAGATGACAAACAAATGGTTAGTGGCTACGTAGTTATGAATGATTGCTCTTCCCATGCAGGGAAATCGGGTTTGAACGACGGGAACAATGGGGAATGGCGCCCCGTGAATTATTCCTTGGGGTGAGGGATCAAGGGAGGAATGGTAACAGGTCGAGGTGGAAAATAGGGCAAAGAACAAGAAAGCAGAGCAAGTGATGTCTATTCATATGAGAAGCCACATATCACTTCTTATAAAGCTGATACTTACATGGCTTTTGCTGGTTTCAATGTGAACAAGACTTGGAGAGCGAAGGTAGAAGGGAGAAGAAAAAGAGGAAGAGGGCGGGAAGAGACTCCTTTAAAGTCCCCTGAATTCAAGTCTGAAACTTCAAATGCGGACCATCGTCCCCACCTGAAAGATTACTCGTCTATGTGAAATGCAAATTAAAAGCTAAGCGTGATGCAGCCTCTTGTGAGGATGCGATATCCCGTTCCTCTCTAAAGATCCCTGTTTCAAAGTCAGTTGGAGTGACGCCAAGGATGGTCTTGGTTATTGTACAAGGGAATGAATTTACTTGGGATGCGAAGTGGCGACCAGTGGCAGAGGAGGTTGGCGCTTGTGATTTTACGGAGGGTTTAAATTAGCGGGCAAGCGTAATACTCGGTTTTATTGTGGATATTTTTTGGGATGGTCAACCCAATCGTAAGTATTTCTCATTTCTCCATCGAATTGTTGCGACATAGCTTATAAATAACATGTATTTAGATTTTCTGTGTGTTTCGTTGTTGTAGGATGATTTCTTAGATGCTACTCTGGAAAAGACGCTGAGATTATTTCTTCCTCTGTGTCTTCTGCTGGCCAATTTGTTGAGTTTTCCTATATGGCGCCCTTAATGGGATCAACTATGTGATTTTATTAGGATCAGACGCGGTTTTTATAAACGTATTCGATGTTTAGTTACGAAGTTTCTGGAAGTGGCCAGGAAGCTTCTGGCTGGAAAGGAGTGAAAAAGAAAAGAAAAGAAAAGAAAATGAGCCATTGCTTGTGTAAATGAACCCAATCTTCCGCATAAACGACCTCCAAAAGAAGGAATGTAATAGGTATGGTGTTCATGGCTTATTATCTCTCAAATTGTTGGCAGGTGAGTACCAATAAGACTGAAATTACTGCTGTCGTTTATTTTTGTGGTTTCTGCATTGTGACTTGAATTCATTTTTATTAATTTTTTTTCAAAGTTGGTATGATCAGCCTTCATAGAAAATTCAATTTCGGAGTTTTTCTCAGTTAAATGGTGTGACAACCAATTAACAACATTCAATTGTTTTAATATATTTGAGGATTTGTATATTAAACGCCTGCACTCATCCTATTTGACCCATTTTATGACCATGTAGTTTTCTTAAGCTCAGAATGTTTAATCATTGAACGCAGATAGCTGTTTTCAGAGATTTTCCTCGTTCCACAATTCTTGAAGGTACATTCTTGACGCAAACAAGTGACTACTTTTTAAGTCCACTCTGTTTCTGAAATTCGTAGTTGTTCTCACAACCATGTGTGTATTCATGAAGAGATGCATAGAATATCCTTAGATAACGGTTATGTGCTGTCCGTTGCAGAGAGTCGGCTGCTACTTTTCTTCATAGTTATTGTATGACACTACGAACAATTGCTTGGTCAACTTAAGGCTGGTAATCTCTACATTCGCATTGCAAAAAGTAGCAGCTGAATCTCCTCTGTTCTGAAACTCAACCGTGTTCATTGAACTGAAGTCATTGTGCTATTTTAAAGATCTTCTACCTTTTGCGCAGAAGATGTAAGGACTTACCGGCAAAGCCATTTCTAAGGTTTCTGGCAGTAGTTTCACTGGACAGATTTGATAGCTACGTCTGGGCACAGTGCCTGGATAAGATTCTGTGGTCTGCGGTTAGCAACTGAACAGTAATTTGGATCCCGCTTCGATCTCACTCTCATCTTTAGTCTCCATCGTAGCTTCGACCTGTCCTATTTTGCAATATTTTGCAAATGTGTTCCTCAGAGGCCCATCTTTTGCTGTCAAAACAATCTAAACATATTGTTCGTCGTTGGTATTGAAGTTTAGTCCCTGCTTGAGCACATGAGATCTTTGTTCTGTGACATTACCTGTACATGAGTTGTAATCATATTAATTGACTAAGAAACAACGACGTGCAGAGTCCTTCAGAACTATGCATGTTGTCGCAAATGAACGTCGTAATTAAGGCAGTTGAATGAAAGATGATCCTAAATGAGAGATTCACTGACCTTCACCTCATTTAAATCGACTCAATTATCTAACACAACCCTTCACAATGACTGCCAGATATCAAATTGATGGGCATGGCCTTACTTTGTTGCGCAAAATTGATGTGCAGGAACATGTGGTGGGTAACAGTTCCTTGATTGCCAAGGTGGGTAGAACTTCTTTACCAACCATTGAGTATGCCAACAATGCCAGGTTGATCAAGTCAGAAGCATTTTTCCTGAACTTTCTGAGGTGGTGAGAAACTTCACACAAAAGTGACTGTGACTGGATGGAAACAACTTTCCTTTCCATGATTAACTCTTGGGCACATTTGAAAGAACATTGGTAACATGACCCAGCTAGTGTAGCGTCTTTTGAATAATTGGTATTGTATGGTGCTGGTTCGATTCCGTTTGAATACTGCAACAAGTGGTAGCTTTTGAAACCACCATAGGAATTTTGAATTTGTTAATATTTTTTTTTTTTGCACCATCATGACAGTCAATAAAAATTATAGTTTGTAAGAAATAATGATGCTGAATTTATAAAAAAATTATTAATAAAAAGAATTATATTTTTAGTAATTTTGGGTAATGCTACCACCAAAGTTTAGTAACTGTGTCAATAAATTATTGTACACATTTTATACACACACATTTTATAAATTGCTCAAATCATATTATAAATATTTTTCAAAAATGAAAATCTTATAAAACTTTAATCATGTTGCTTAAAATAAAGTTAAACATAAAACTTTATGCACATTGAGCATTCTGATATGACACTAATACATCTTATAATCTAATAGGCTTTGGAAATGTTATTATTCCATCAATCATTGTTTATGGTGATATTATAACTCTTGTTGTTTATACCACAGTTTGTTTTGATGAGATAATGGTAATTTTAAAACTTCTATTAATAACATTACTAATTTCTGATTAAGATAAATAAATATGAATTAAATTAAATTGAATTGAAACTTTCAAACATAAAATTGCAATAAATATAAATAAATACCTAATTAAATCTAATTTTATACAAAAATATTATTTTTAATATTACAATAAACCCCCTGTTTTTTATACACAATTATTTAGGATACATCTTGACTATATCACTTAGACACTAATGAAGCTTTTGTTGCCACAAATCTAAAATCCAATAATCTGTAGTCAATATTAAATCTTTGTGTATGAAAAGATATTTTATCAAATAGTGCACGTCCTTACCAAATTTATTTATAAAAACCATTTAATATTTTGATTATTGATATTTTGTAAGATTCAAGTAAGAGTTTTAATTTTAGAACTAAATAAAATAATCTCATCAGTTTTTACTTTGTTTTATTTTTTTTTATAATTTTCTAATTAAAATATTTATTAAAATAATTTTATATGCAAAAAATATCTTCTTATAATCTAAACTTATTAAATTTTCTAAAAATAATATTAACTTTGATATATATATATATATATATATATATATATATATATATATGCTCATAAAAAAAATTCTTACAATGCCAATATATTTCAAATATATATATATATATTAAGAGTATTAAGACATATTTAAATTATATCTATTTAAAAAATATTTTGGTTATTCTACTATTCTTAAAAGAATATATATATATATATATATATATATCTTATTGCTAATGCTACCTTAGTTTTTACTACTATCACCACCACATTCCATCTACCACTTGCTACCTACAAACTTTGTCAATGCTATATATATATATATATATATATATATATTCTATTTATAGTATTTTTCTTATCAATCATTGTATTTTTTGCAAGAAAAAATATTAATTATGAAAAAATTTAAATTATTAGAGGTGCTGCATTAAAGGCACAATAGAAATCATCCTTGTTAGGGCCTACAACCAAAGTTGTTTGCTCCTGCCTTAGTAGCCACATGTTCTTGCCTTGCCCAATTACATATAGCCATGTAGCCTTGCCAACCACGTGGCCTTTGTTAATTATCTCTATTAATTAATAAAATTTAATAAGAATTAATAAATTTTCAAAGATTAGAGGTTATTAATTATGCACCATAGAATGGAGTCAATTTCATTTATATTTGATTAGTTATTGAGGATTATTGTTTTTTGGAGGATCAATCAAGGGGATCATTATATATATAATATATTTTTGAAATAAAGAATATACATTTAATATTTTTATTATACATATATATATTGAAAATATTAATTAAAAAATATATATTTACTAAATTTATAATAATATATTTTTAAATATTATTTAATACTATATATATTGATAATTTTTAAATTAGAATAAAGAAACCAAAAAATATGATAAGTTGCTTACACATTGTTGGGAGAGTAGTAAACACTATAGTGGCATGTGGTAGATAGTAAATCATGGTGGGAATAGCAAAAAAACAGTGGTAGCGTCAACATTATCTTATTAATAGAAAGAGAGCATTTAATAATTTTTTTCTTTCTAATACTCTTTAATCACTATTAATATTTAATTATTTGTGAAATAGGAGTTGTATATATATATATATATATAATAATTATTAAAGTTTTAATTTGAAACTTGCAATATAAAAGTGAGAAGAAAATTAATTCATAATAGTATTGCATATTAGTACAATTAAAGAAAAATTAAGATTAAAGTAAAATATGTTTATTTTTCTTATTGAATCACAAATATGTTATGAAATAGTTTCTATTCATGAGATAATCAATGGCAAAAGATGAATAATATTCAGGACCCTTTCCGGAGTAGAAGAAGGGAGGATACCCGGATCAGAGGAGCGGAAGATACCCGAAACCGGGCAGGTGGTGCATCAACAACAACAACATCGCGAGGCAGATAGGTCGTCCATTGCGAGGGGGGGGGGGGGGGGGGGGGGGGTTGCTGGCGCGGCATTGCATCACCAGCCTCATCGGGAGGCGTGGAAATGCGAGTCGCTGTCTCACCCGATCACGTGAATGATCCTGCTTCAGCACTGTCACTCACTTGCCTTGTTCGATTTGCTCTTCATCTTCGTCTCGTCACGAATCCGCATCGAACACGCCTCGTCGTTGCCCATGCTCATCGATCGATTCCTCTAGTTCTTGCCCCCTCTTTATACCGCCCCACCTTCTTCTTCCCATTCCTCCCCGTCTCCTCCTCCTCGCTCAGTTTCTAGGTCCCCTGACGTTTCCTCGTTGCATTGCCCCTGTTGGGTTCCATTTGCAGCAGATCGCAATTGTGTTTTGAGATCAGAGAGGATCGGTGTGTTGTTTCCGTTGCTGAATTTCGCACTATTGTGTCTGGAGATTGAGAGCGCTGTTTTTGTTTACGTAAGTTGTGATCAAGGAAGGTCGCTTGGAGTCGCTTGCTAACCAGCCAGGCCACGAGTTGGGATATTGTGCTGAGTTAGTTGGCATGTCCTCGGTTACATCAGTTGTATGGTTGTATTTGAGGAACTTGAGTTTAGAATCCTGATTTTTCTTACTATAATTGAACGTTGTTTGGGTAAATTGCCGATCGAGGTTTCAATTTTCAGTTTTATTTGATCCACCCCTTTCAAATTTTTGTTTTAAGATCCATGCAGGAATCAGATTTTGAAGAATCAGTTGAATAGGGTACTGTCGCATGTCATGGATTGATTCAAGGGATTGTAGGCTTGAGAGTGACGTGGCATTCTATCCTTTTCCTATTCATTCGGTGATTGTTTTGCTGTATACCGATTTTTGGATGCTTATTGGATCCTGTCAGGTAGCATTCTTCGACGACTGGAGAGAAGGTGGGGCATCACATCAAATTGTTCCTACCTTTGATTGTGTGCTGCAGAAGCAAAGAAGATGGGAGTTGAATTTGAGAGAGAAGATTACCTGTTCCTGAATGAATTGGGTATTTCTCCTGAGAATCTGGGTTGCTACGGAGGTGGTGTGTGGCGAGCAAACGGTCCCACTGTAACGTCTGTCAATCCATCTGACAACAAGGTACAATATCTTGATTATATATATTTCTATATCTTTAGTCCTCTTTCTGTTTTATATTAGTCCATGTATACATCATGTGTACTTGTGGCCGTAAAAATACCTCTGAATAGATTGTTTCAAGTCACGTTCATTGGAATGCGCCTTGAAAAAGCTGGAGTCAGGGTTAAGTCATCTTTGATGGGAAGTGGTGTTTGTTGTGTAGCCAATTGCATCTGTCAGAGAGGCTTCACTTGAAGACTATGAAGACAGTATGAGAGCCTGTGCCGAAGCACGTAGAATGTGGATGCTGGTGATACACCCTGTCCCTGTATTTCATTTCGCTTTTATTAATGATTCAAATGAATTTGTGTCTGTGCTTCAGTGACTGTTCAATAGCTGTGCAGCTTCCTTTATTTTCACTGAATGCATGGCGATCTCAAATCAGGAATCTATAACTCAATCTCTTCATCCGATTGTACTGGTCTCCTTTCACATTACTTGGAGAGGTTTAAATGATAATGACATGATCTTGATGCGCAGACTCCAGCTCCAAAGAGGGGCGAAATAGTTCGTCAGATTGGGGACGGTCTAAGAGATAAACTCCCACTTTTGGGTAAGCTTGTCTCTCTTGAGATGGGCAAGATTTTGGCTGAAGGCATCGGAGAAGTACAGGTATGTGCGGCTAAAGGTGCATGTCATAACAAACAAAGATGTTTTAATTAAGAGTTTTACCTCACTTATTAGGTCTGGAATCCCACCCAGGTTTAATGCTCCTACTTATTCCATTGCTCTGCAGGAGTTTATAGATATGTGTGACTATGCAGTTGGATTGAGTCGGCAGCTCAGCGGTTCCATTATACCTTCTGAACGTGAGCATCCTGGCGTACCTCAATTTTGCATGTATACTGCGTAAAGAACTATCGGTCAATTTGATTTTCCGCAGTTTCTGTTTGCAAGATAGGACCAGCGTCAAAAGAACTTGAATTTTATTAACACCTAGAATTATAAAGTTTCTCATATCAGTATGTGTCTCATTGTTGGCAGGTCCAAATCACGCCATGATGGAGGTACATTCTCATCCACGTTTTAAAAAAAGTGTTTAGTTATCATTTTTTGTGAATCTTTGCCTTTCTGTGCAAGCGTGTCACAAGTATCAAGTAAAGAAGTAATTAGAGTGTCACATTTCGCCAGCTTCGGGACCGATACGGATGTTCACTGCTGTCTTCAGAAACAGTGTGGTGATCTTTGCTTACAATGGGTAGAGGATTACCCTATTAGATTTAATATTTAAGAAATACCCAGTCAAAGTTTAGCACCAAATTCCATTACTTCGAAAGTTTAATCAGAGAATTAAAACCATTTATGCTGGGACTCATACAGGTGTGGAATCCATTGGGTATAGTTGGAGTAATCACTGCATTCAATTTTCCTTGCGCCGTACTCGGTAGTGCCTCTCTTATGCCCTTGCATTGTTGCCTAAATGTAAAACTATTCGTGACATGCAGTACCAAAGTGTCGTCTTTGAAATAATTACTCTTACCGTATTGATTTTTGGTCTTTGGCTGCAGGATGGAATGCATGTATCGCTCTTGTGTGTGGCAACTGCGTTGTATGGTGAGACCTCTTTAAATAAGAAACCGTAACTTTTGATTTGGTCATAATTTCACGCCTTAACATATCAAGCACTAGTCTTGTGGTACTGAGTGTTTGACGAACTTAAGTGGAAATCGTTGGTGTTATACCAAAGTTTTAGCAATGTGTATAGCCGTATCAGTCTCCTGTAAAGAACCTATGAACTGGCATCCCAACCCCTGTTCCAGTGAGACCGAGGATTGACACTGCAACGCGCGGTGACGATGTAGGATACTAATCTGATCATTCATCATTAGAGAATGTGACATTTTGTACGTTTTCTGTTTCGTTTTCTCAAGGGAAGTGACAATGGGTAAATACTTGCCGTGTTGGGTAGGAAGGGAGCACCAACAACGCCACTGGTGACCTTGGCTACGACTAAAGTTATTGCTGAGGTTTTGGAGCGAAATAAACTACCTGGTGGCATTTTCACCTGTGTATGTGGGGGTGCTGAAATTGGTAGTGCCATCGCATATGACACTCGTATCCCACTTGTGTCATTCACTGGTAGCACCAAGGTAATTTCTGCTCGTTTTCTCAATTTTGATATGATTCTTTCGTTTTAAAAACAGTGTTACCGAAAACGCAAAACGCCCTGAGAACAACGAAAACAGAGAGCCGAAGAGAGTCCATCTCAAAAGCTAGACAAACGTGAGAAAATGGAGGGTGTATAGGTGAAAGTAGGCAACCTAGAATTCTGAGGCATTGAAGAGAAAGCATCCAAAGAAGCATAAGCAAATTTGAGATATTTTTCAAAACATTCGAGAATGGTCAAGAACGTCAGAAAACGTTGAAGATTTTCCTTTCTGCTTGCAGTATCCTCTTAACCTTCGTGTGCGAATTACTATTTGGAAGCTTGCACAATATCATAGAGTTTCAGGCCATGCCTAGGACACTTAGTGCAGCTGCTGCAATCTGGCATAATCTTCATATTATCAATGAAGCTTGTCATTGAAGTTCACCTGGTATAATCATATATCCGTAGCTTGTCTATTGCTAAGATCAACCGAGATAATTTTTTCATGTGCTTGTAAACCAGGTGGGATTGTTGGTGCAAAGTATTGTGCATGCAAGGCATGGCAAAACCTTGCTGGAGCTTAGTGGGAACAATGCAATAATTGTGATGGACGATGCAGTCTTGCCACTGGCTGTACGTGCTGTTTTGTTTGCAGCTGTTGGTACTGCCGGTCAACGTTGTACCACCTGCCGGCGCCTGGTAAACATACGTCACGAATTTCCTCTGGTCTTGCAGAGTAGTATACCATTTGTTTCTCTATTAGTAGTTTTCTGTGAGCATCCCAGGTCATGTCCACATTACTTGGAGATTTGGAGTCAGGAAGACAAACTTGGTCGTGCAGTCATGTTATATTTGATGTGCAAAATAGCAGCAGTAGTTCTCAGTGTTATAACGGTTTTATGCGGAGAGTCCTTATGGCCATTATTTGCGGCGTTGATGATTATTTACACCTTCGTTGGTTCAGATTGTGCACGAGAAAGTCTATGATGACATGCTGGCGGGTCTGCTGAAGGCATACAAGCAAGTTAAAACTGGAAATGCAGTAGATGAAACCACATTGTGTGGACCCCTTCATTCCAAGCACTCTAAGGCATGCTTCGAAGAGGGTATTAAGAAAATCAAGGCTCAGGCAATGATTCTGTACCTTCATGTCACTAACGTGCTTATTCAGCTGAGTGTGCTTAGAAATTAGCCTTGAGCATTGATTGTATTTAGCACCATTGTATCAGAACCGAAGCGTAGGGTACCCCAATAAATAATCATAATCACAAAAGGTAGCTTAGTAGTCCGTGCTTATGTTTTGATAGTAATGCAAGGGTTAAGTGCGTCTGATTTCATTTATTGCCTCATACCTCAGCATAAAACTTTTGAATTTTGGACTGGATACGCTTTTCAGGGCGGCAAAATTTTGACTGGTGGCTCTGTGATTGATCGTGATGGCAACTTTGTCGAACCGACTGTAGTCGAGATATCACATGATGCAGAAATTGTGAGGGAAGAATTGTTTGGTCCCGTCCTGTATGTCTTCAAAATCAAGGTATGCCGTTTGGATTACCTACTACTATGATGTAGGTTAGTTCTTTCTTCTTATATTTTGTCCACGGCCTGCCTTAGATTGTATTAGTTTACCTTCATTCTATGCTGCATCGTCCTCTACTATATACTTAATCAAACGCTGGTGCCAGTTTGACAAAATATGAGTGGGTTCTGTCTTCAGTCGTTGGAGGAGGCCATTGAGCTGAACAACTCAGTGCCACAGGGCCTCAGCAGCTCTATTTTCACTCGCAACCCAGAAACAATTTTCACTTGGATTGGGTTAGTCTCTCGAACTCTTCTACTCTCAAACCCAATTTTAACGCATTCATTATAGACATAGTAGCCAGTCTGCAGGTTCTGGACTCAGAAAAAGCCTCTAGGTGTTGAGGTTCTGTTAACCGGTTCAGCAAAATGACCCTGAGTTAAGTCCCTTCGGTGAATGTTGCTCATCTTGGGTAATATAGCAATGTTTCTACTCAGATAAGCCAGAATTTGTTGTTGTCAGGCGGGAGTGTGATATAGCCGGGTTCAAACCCTCTTTCTTGATCACAGAATGTCTAAGAAGGATGTAATAACTTGCTCAGTACAATTTTTAATTTTAATCTTTTCTGTAATTACTACGTCAAAACCTGTATTTTGTGGTAGAATCTTTTCATGGTGGATAGGTACCATAAATTCTTCGGAGAATAGTCAGGCTTTATTATAAATGTGGTTATTAGTGACAATGTACGAGGAAGCTACTTCATGCACCTCATTTACTTCATTTCGAATTTTTACATTTTAGTGACAAGCAAGATGTTTCTCTCGTTTGCAGACCTACAGGCAGTGATTGTGGTATTGTCAATGTGAACATACCAACCAATGGAGCGGAGATTGGGGGAGCATTCGGTGGAGAGAAGGCAACAGGGGGCGGAAGGGAAGCGGGTAGTGATTCATGGAAGCAATACATGCACCGTGCAACCTGGTACTCATACGACTCAGAGCTTTATTTATCTGATGAATATTTATGCAGAGCATACACAATAGATGTTTTTTTTTGCGGTCAATACCGTCTTGCCTCGCTATGGTCCTGATCTTTTCAAGTTTATTTCTCGAATCATGTCTGCGTTGCCAACCTTCACGATGGACAACCACAATTATGCTTGTCCTTGATGTGTTTGGTTCTATCTGACATGAAAGCTTATAGATCGAAGCTCTGTGCAATAGGAAATTAGTATAGATTATCTCCTTGATGTGCTGATCCACTAATATACATCCGTTGCTATACTGCAGTACTATCAATTACGGCAACGATCTACCGTTGGCACAGGGTATAAATTTCGGGGGTTAATTGTTGGATGATGACCTCTTCTTGACAGCTAGTCTCTCATGCGCCACACTAGTGGAACAAGTTTAGTGACTGTTGCGTTTGAAACACTTTGTTAACTGTATAGAATTGTCTCCTTGAAGAATCGAGGATTTCGTGACTCAATTTTTGAAGTGCCACATTGTATTAAATTGCGGACTCCTCACTTTATTAGTTCATACCTGTTGGTATAACAAGCGGGAATCTATTACGACACTTCTTAAAGTGACTTTAAATGTTGATTAAACAGAAACTCACAACGATGCAATCTGGACCTTGTTATATAACGCACAAATTCTTGTATGAGATATTTTGGGCTTAATTCGCTGTAATTCAACATTTTTTTAGGTTGGCAAGGTTGTTTAGCCGAGGTCATCCTCTGATTGCATTTGCGTATGCGTTCGATAACTCCTACCGGCCTTCTCAACCCTCTGTGCTAACTGACACTTTTGTTGGGGGCTTTTCCCATTTAAAAGCTTTTTTGCCTCTTGGTTGACTGTCTACATTGCGACGTCAAGACTTTCTAAGATCCATCACACTTGCATCCTCATTCTCTGGCGAAGTTTTTACTAACTTCTACCAAGTTTAGCATGTTTCAATGTGACTTCAAAACCTGACAATGAGAGAACCGTGCTGGTTATTTGTAAAGCTACGTGCTCTGAAACTTTAAAACAAAATAACACAAATCGAACACCGACAGACGGAGAAATAATCAGCGATACGGCCTGGCACTGGGGTGTTGACACCCAGATATTCAGCACAAGTTCACATCCGGTTCCACACACAATTCACGTTCAGCAGAACCTTCCTCAGTTGATGAAAAGTGAAAGGCCCAACAAGGCGTGGAGCGGTAGATCGACATGACAGGCATTTCAAAGTTTCATGCGGTTTCATTACTCTGATTTCGACTCAAAGTGGCTCCAGCGGCCGTGAGAGGCCTACAAGGTCTGATGTTAAGTGCACAACAAGATTTGTGAGTTAATATTCTCTGGTAGTGAACAGTCGTAAAGGCTGCATCATATCAGAAAGCAAAGATGCCTAATAACCCAGAGGTCCTTCTTCATGCACACATCTGTCCATTACCTGCTTGTGTACTGCGTAAGGTCTTCACTTTTCAGCAACAACCGAAGACACCCAGTTGCTTTTTTGTTTCATAAGAACAGCACCATTGACACCTTCCAGATTCTCAACACTTTCTACCTACAAATCTGCACAACATCTCCTCCTCCATACTTGTGAACTATTTCCTCTTACCATTGGCAGATGTTGGAGTTTGTGTGTGAAGAGATCATAGTCTTAAATGATTGTGTGTGTGCTGAAAACATTCAAATTCTATTAGAATTTAGGATTGAGCTTTAAATTGGGATTGCTAGTTAAGCTACCAATGTGACATTGTCATTAACTTAATGGAAAATTAATTTAGTCTATTTTTATGTTAACTAAATTTAAATTAAATTGCTAGAATATTTTGCAAAGGTTTGAATACATGAATTAAATTAAATTTTTATAAATTGTTGATCAAAATAAACTTTATAGAATAGTTAATATGGTTTTTTAATTCCATTAATATATTTTGAGTTATGATTAAAATGGAATTTTTTAATCTGCTATAAGAAAAATGATACTAGCAGTAAATAAGAAACTTTGATTTAATTATTAATAATCCAAAATCTTAGAAAAAAAAACTAAATAAAAAAAATAAAATAGAGTGGAGATTTTCACATCTATAGAGATATCTTGAGTAATTCTAATAGAATAATAAGAATATAGTTTAATGGGAAAAAATCATTACAATAGATAGAAATAATTATAGAAACAATATCGTTTTTATATAATATTAACATATATTTCATAAAATATTTTTATTCTATATATATAATTTTTTATAGTATGTACATGCAATACAATATTTTATAAATTTCTACAACATAATTAGATGTCTCATGTATTTTTTTATGTATTTTTATAAATTTTTAATTAGAAAATATTAGTTTATATCTAATATCTATTTATATAAAAATAAAAAAGACTAGTATATTATATGTAAGTAGGAATTCTATACTTAAGTTGCATAAGTGCCATTCAATTTTGTAAAGACAACTAATTGATGTTTCTATCATTTTGAACTACAAATATTAATTAGAAAAAAATTTAAAAAATTAAAATACATAAATTTTAATATAGAAATTCTAGAATATTAAAATTTTATTTTAAATCAATTTGATATGCTAAATAATTTTTCTATAAAATTTTAAAATTGCATATAAGAAAATCTATACATTCTCAATATTATTTTGTTGCATCTGACTAAATACTATGTCTTCTTTGAAAAGAATTAATGATACTTTATTAATTAAATTATAAAAAAATAAATATAATTATTTCATAGAAATATTATAAGATTCCTATAAATTTATAATATAATAAATAGAAATTCTAAAAAATTATATATTAAATAAATTAAATTTACCAATTAATTAATAACTATCAGATATAAAATAAATAATGATTATTATTATTATATGAATTTTAAAAATTATTTTTTTAATTGTATGCAATAAAAAAAATCTGATCTTCTCTAAGTACTTTAGGCCAATAATATTAAAAAAATTAGTCTCAATTAATAGCACTATGGCCAAACTCTACCTTAATCAAATTTATGGACTTTGAACAATGCCTTTATCATACAAAGGAGTGGATTGTAATTAGTTCACACTGTCAAAATTTACATTTAAGCAACTGGATTTAGCTTTGCAACCAGATTTATTAGATTTAGGATTTACAATAAATAATTTGGATTTTGTATTTTGGATTTAAGCTGAAATCAACGATTTAGGTTTTTTAGGATTACAAGGGCCTTTCTATGGTTTTTTATCTTAGTTTTATGGAGTTTCGTGGTCACCTATCTCTACCCCCCTCTTCTCCTTACTTTTGATGTTTTTTATTCCAAATTTTTTTATTTAGAACTTAAGCATGTGTATGTATATGTGTATGTGTTATTTTTTATTTTATTTTTTGAAGATATTAGGATTTTAAAATGATACAATATCTCTTTTTATACTAAGATTATAAAAAATCTAAATTTAAACATATTTATATTGTAAAAACAAAATATCTTAATGTGAATGGTTTTTGTTGCATTGGACAATGTAGATTTGAAGTCCTAAACTTGCAAAAAATACAGATTTTTTTAGATAGACCATTCATAAATCCAAAAAATTCAAATTTTTTTTATGAGATACCTAAACAATTTACAAGTAAAGTTTTCCTAATCAAATTGGCAACAACCAAGCTTTGTGAATTTTACAAAATTAATGAAAGAAAAAACTATATGCATTATTGGATGACAAAGAGGCTACACTCCTAAAACAAACTAAGGCTATCTTTACAAACATGCATTATACTTTCTTGTTCAATAGCAATGTGGGCTTTGTGCAATACATTCTTCACAAAAAAGAATGTATTGCAATAAGTTGGCACTTCTATAATTTATATAAAATCAATCAAATTTAAAGTTTAGAATTTATAGTTGTAACTAAATTTATATGGTTTAGAATTTAGGTTTTAGATTTAGAATTTAGGATTAGATTTGGAATTTAGAATTTAGGATTATAATAGTATTATATAGAATTTTTACTTCTTTTTTTGGAATTTTGAAGTTACTTATCATCTTATTTGTTGTGCTTTTAGATCTAATAGCATTATTTAGGATTTAAATATGTTTTTATTTTTAAAAACATAAGAAAATAAAAATGATATGATATCTCTTTTCATACTAAGATTATGATAAATCTAATTTTAAAATTAAAATATGTCTTAATTTAAAATTAAATTAAGATAAATTTATAATATTGAAATAAAATATAATCTAATTTTAAATTAAGACAAATTTATACTATGGAAATAAAATAGCTTATTGTGAGTGATAAATGTTGCATTGAAAAACCTAGATTCATAATCCAAAAGTAGCAATAAACTTCTAATTTATAAAAGACATTCCATCTACAACTACCAAACTTAAGATAATCATATGAAACATATAAACAATTCACAAAAAAAATTACCTTCATCAAACTAATAACAAGCTCTATGAATTATACTAAACTACTACAAGCAAAAAAAAAATATCTTTCTAAGTGGCAAAGAAGTTACACATCTAATACAAATCAAGGCATTTATTACAAGCACAAACTATAGTTGTTTGCTCAATACTAATATGGGTTCTTTGTTTTGACTTCTTAATATAAAGAAGTCAATTAAAATAGATTCTTATTACTATAATTATATCAAAGAAGCTAATTTTAGAATTCAAGATTTAAGATTGCAACCAAGTTTATTAAGTTTAGATTTTAGAATTTAGATTTAAGATTTAGGATTTTAGAGTATTTAGTGAAATAAGACCAATCTATGTAACAAGATATAGATAAGATAATTCTATAGATAGTTAGAACCATGGAAGTTTCTAGAATTAGAATTAGATTAATGAATTCAGTAGGATCTAGTATAGAATATCCAAAAAAGAATTTAAGGCGGTTATCTAGGTTTGGCCTATTATGGAATAGGACTTACCAAGGTCTTTTGGGACATCTGGTCAGGTATGGCTTTAGATCCTTTCTCTTAATAAAATTTGGTTTTATATCTTTCTATTCAATTCTACTCTTTTTCTATTTCTATTTTCTCAGTTTTGTCTTCCATGTCTTATTTTATTTAATTCCATTCAATTTTGTCATAATTTATTTTGTCCTATTTTGTGATGAGGCTTTATATTGCTGTAGAATAGAAGGATATTAAGTTTTTAAGATAGTTTGATCCTATTTCATTGATATCAGAGTAAGTATTAGATTGTTTATTTTTGGTAGGGTGTCAATAGTCATCATCTAGCCCAAGATTAGTTGTTGTGGTCACACTGGATATTATGTTGAGGCTACGACTTACTACTCTTAAAAAGTCAATTGAGAGGTGAAAAGACATTATAATAGTAGAGTCTAACAAAGAAATTATAGTATGGAAGATATTGTAGAGCAATCTCAGATGAAGACTTAAATATAATACCTCTTAGGTCAGATAGCTACTTTGTAAGGACAAATAAAAGCCTCAAAGATAAGAGAGTCGATATTTGCTAGGTTGAAATTGAGTAAGCCTAATACATATTTTGGGACTTTAAGACAAGAAGATGTATATCAATGGCTCTTCAACATGCGACAATACCTCCAACTATCTGGAGCAGATACCACTGAAGGAATTATATATGCAGCCAACTATTTGAGAGATACAATAGCCAT